CCCCCCCCCCCCCCCCCATCAGTTCAAACTTGATGAGTTGCTCGTCTGCAAACATGGCTTTTGAAACCACTGTAGGTATGTACCTACTAGAGTGCCGTAGACTTTTTTTTAGGGCTGTTTAAAGACATGTCTAAGGCCTTGTCTCCACGAGACGTTTTCATGGGATTTGTCGCAAGTGCGAATCGCAGGAATGAAACTTCTGGGATTTCCAGATTTTGCCCAGTTTGGCAGTCGTAATGTAAAAGGGAGAGCTGGCGCCATGTTCTGCTCGACGAGTTCTGAGCCCGGTGTGCGGGTCACTTTTTCGATACATATTCGATCTAAAATGGCGGTGTGGAATACGCACTAATTACATGGCCGGATCCACGTGTATCGCAAACAATCGATTATGTATCGAAATAGTGACCCGGCGCCGCTCAGGAGTCTCGAAATTCGGGACCTGCACTCCCACTTCATAGAGAAAAAAAAGGTGTTTGCATTTCGGGCATCTTGGACTTTTTTTGATGACGTAGGTCGGTACGGCGACTTTCATCATAGATTTTCTTGGAAATGGTGTTATTTATGGACAAACATTGTGTCTTGCAAGTACGCGAGTTCCCACGTTTCCGGCTTCTACCGCAATCACACGCTGAATTTGGCTGCTGCATGAATGTGGTAGTCAACAGTCATCGCCCAACAGCGGAAATTACACTAATTCGAGGTATTATTTTCATCCAAATGTGTATCAAATCTATTCAAATAGTTCAGACAAATCCGATATTATCCGACGGTCGCTGAGAATCGTTGCTGAATTTTGCGCGTCACGCGCAAAATTTAGGCATCGGGGCCGATGACTTCCACGTTCAGCTCCCACATTCAGCGTGTGCTTGCGGCATTCCTTCATGAAGGAAAAGTGAGTCAGCCTGACGTCCAGACTGACTCACTTTTACTAGAGAAGGTGTTCAGGTGAGAGTTTTAGAGTTTTTTATACAATTTTTACTTTTTTCTTTAATATATGATGTCACTTTTCTAAAATCAGAACTATCGGTCGCAAAAGAAAGAATCCCCGAAAAACACTCGCTGTGTGAAAAACTGCGAAGTCGGTCCCAGCTTGATTTACTTGACCAATATTCAACAAACTAAGCTCGATTAGAGTTTGCTAGAGAGGTGATTATGAGCCCCAAGACTCTGCAAACCGTATTCAGATCGCAAAATAATCTGTAAAAGACTGGACAACTCTCAGTTTTTTGTGACAGTCTTTGTAGGTACCTATCTCGTTCGACGGACTATGAATTTCCTAACCTAGGTTTTCTGCCCGCAAGTGTGGACTAGCATTATTAGCGAGCGCGGAACGCGAATCTTGGAGTGCTTATTATCATTAGTCTCGCAATCTGCTACTACGGATTGAAGTAGGTACGACCGGCAACAACTCATGGACCGAGGTTTCCAGGTTGTGCAATAAAATTTGGACGTTTCAAACGGGTTTCCATAGGGGAAAGTGGTGATTTTTCAATCCAATCTGACAAAAAGGACGCAAACCCTCTGCTTGGGTGATGGGATCCTCGTTCACCAGTCGCTAGCGCTTCATCCCGGAGCGCAGGAATAAGAACAAATAATGAAATCAAATATAATTGCAGACCAGA